GAAAACCTGTATTTGCCCTGATCCAGATGAAATGCTGGGTGCATCTCCTTAGTGTAGCAGCTTTGACCCTGGCTGTGGGTCCAAGCATGGGCTTCCAATGGGGGTGTCCTACAATCAAGAACTGCTTAAAGTTGTGTGCCAAACTTTGTATGCATTTAAATACGCCTGTTTTTCAGGGATTGAAGGTTTATAGCATGCATGAAATACCCGTGAAGTGGAGGAAATATCCATGACCTAGAAGTCTTAAGAATCATTAATTTAGTAAGACACAAAAATTTCTTTTATTTATAGGTGGAGTAAAAGATAACCATTCTGCAGCATCGCCCTCATTGAGGATCCTCCTGGTGGGCAAAACAGGCAGTGGGAAAAGTGCCACCGGGAACAGCATCCTCGGCCAGCCAGTGTTTGAGTCCAAGACAAGGGCCAGGCTGTGACCAGGAGATGCCAGGGGAAGACAGGCATGTGGGGCGAGAGGAACATCCTGGTGGTCGACACGCCCCCCATCTTTGAGTCAAAGGCCCAGACCCAAGAGATGTACAAGGACATCGGGGACTGCTACCTGCTCTCCGCCCCAGGGTCCCACGTGCTGCTCCTGGTGACCCAGCTGGGGTGTTTCACGGCCCAGGACGTGGCGGTGGTGAGGAGGGTGAAGGAGGTCTTTGGGGTAGGGGTCATGAGACACATGGTCATCCTCTTCACCCACAAGGAAAACCTAGTGGACGAGTCCTTGGATGAGTATGTGGCGAACACGGACAACCAGAGGGGCCTGGTGCTGGTGCGGGAGTGCGGGAGGAAGGAGTGCAGGAGGAGGTGCTGTGCCTTCAACAACCGGGCGGGCGAGGAGCAGCGGCGGGAACAGCTGGAGACGCTCATGGCCGTGGTCAACGGGCTGGATGGGGAGCACGAGGGCAGCTTCTACAGCAATGACCTCTTCCTGGAGGCCCAGCTGCTGCAGGGACGTGGGGCCTGCGAGGAGGACTCCAGGCTGTACCTGGCCAAGGTGAGGGGGCAGCTGCGCAAGCAGGAGCGGGAGCTCGAGGAGATGGACAGGCCCTGGGTGGTCAGGGTGCTCCTCAGACTCCGAGACTACGTGGCCTCTCTGTTATAGTGTCTGCCTGTCTTACTATCTGTGCTTTGATTCTTCTTGCTGTTATAATTAGCTCGTGTATGACTTATGGGCAATAAGCATTTTCAGGTGATTTCTACGGCCAGCTTTCTTTATCCAAGGAGACCGTCTCTGTGTAGTGTGCAGGGCACTGTGCATGTCACGTAATTTCACTCTGTTTTTCTTCCTTGCATCAGATATGTC